GCGATTCGCTGTTCGAGTGTGATCGTTCAGAAAAAAAGGAATGTTTTCATCTCACGCACCAAAATATGTCTACCTTACAAATTAGAACTTAACATTTAATTATTATATGATTATATGTGCGTGGAAATTAGCTGCATTACGATTTACAAAGTAGTATTCTTCCCATTAATTAATAATTATTAAGCTATTCCGCTTAATGATTTATTTAACATTTTATTAACGCGGAAAAACTTTCACCTGAAAGGATTAACATTTCGAACGAAGAGAAATGTTGAGATAACCTTAATCATCGTGCTTGAAGTTTGTCAATGTCGTGATAACAGAAAGAGAATGTACAAAGCTTAAACGTGATTTCTTAGAACGATTCTCTTAGACGCCTTTGCCGGATTCTCGTTCCTATTTTATGATTATTTTCGATAAAAAGAAACATAGACGTGCATTAATCAATGAGTAAAGACGGGCTTGCGATCGTGGAACGCAGCCGCCCGTTATCGATGTATCGTTAAGAACTTTTCATGCTACTTTATCGCGAAAGCTGCGCATTGTGCTCGAATATGCGACTGCTCTCTGTTGTCGTAGCTTTGCCATGTATCGGACGCTGCACAGAGTAAACAAATTTTACAACTGCTTTATTGCGCGACTCTCGACGTCTGTAAACTCAGAGCTCATTTTCTTTCGGTAAGCTCGATTGTAAAATGTATCATACATTTCGCATTCTCATGTGCGAGTCGTCGCTGCGATTTGCGTCGCATCGCGAAATATAATTCGTCGACATCAGCTTGATTCCTATTTGTTCGGTGAAAGAATATCTAATAATTAAGTGATATTTTTAAATTCGTATATAATGCAAAAGTTTCAATGAATTTTTAAAAACTCATTTTATGCTACTACTATCTTAAGCTTCGTGCATTCGCTCTTCACGATGCTGATGCATTTCGAGCACTTTGATTGAGACTATCGACTTTTCTTTTTGTATTCGGAATATTAATCCCTTCAAGTGTATGTAATATTTTTTCCGCGTTATTCGTATTGTTCTTACCGGCTTGATATTTTAGACTGCTCCTTATTAAAAAAATTATCAAAAATACTGTGGCTAAAGTTTTATTGTAACATGAATCATGTTGTCTGTCTGTATCGTGTATTAAACAATTCACAGGATTAAGTCGCGCGGATTATTCTGTTTCTCGAAATGTGAAAATATAACACATTGATCTCTCGAATAACAACTGAAGTGTCGCGGTAAATAATTGACCTAGGTGACGATTTATCATTATTTGCTTACAGCTCTCGAATCGACTTTATAATCTCAGTGAACATAAAGCCGGCTAACGATAATAAACCGTGAGTTCTCGAGATCCCAGCGATTCTGTCTCATTTCGCTTTCACGAATTACAGCAAAACAGTTTCGCTGCATTACATAAGGGCAAGAAATACACTTTGAAGTGATATCGAAGACGATATATTAAACAACTTACAGTAGCAATCTTAGACCGATATCTGTATAATTTCGGTCAGTAAATCCGTTCTAATGATGATAACTATTTGTTGCGAACGAACTGCAGGATAAGACGTGAAAAATTCGCGCAAGCTAAAAATATCCACTACGGCACCATATTTCCTGTCACATTGAAGAATTTCTATCTTTAATTATTGGAAAAACTCGCGATACGAGAATAACGGCAAGTCGACTTTGTATGTTTCTGATAATATGAGGATCAATTTGTTGCCACTATCGTCGTACATGCGATACTTATCAATAATTAAAATACTCGCAAATATCGCAAGTGTATAGTACATATACGACGAAAAGTATGTTTATATCGATTTCGTCGCGTATTTAATCGATAATTTTAGACAGCAAACAATGAACATATTCGTTATGACGCACGCGCGAATAGGCGCATGATACCGTCTAATAGATAAGTTCGTACGAAACGTCCGCATAGGGAATAACTGCGATATCTAATGGTCGGATACAGTTAGTGATAATCAGTTCGCACCCGATTCCATGAGCTGCATCAGATTACGCGTGTTTGTCGCTGAAAGCGTCCTTGAAAAGTGCAATTAACGGCAATTGTTAAGAGAAAGCCATTTTTTAATTCAAAGTATGTCTTATAAATAAGATATAATATAATCTTCGAAACACTTGCGATATATAAATAATTAATATATCGCACTTTGCAACATTTGAGAAAGAATAACAATGACTTAGAGAAAAAAACTTGCTTGAAATTACGAGGATTACTAGCTGTTTGAAGGTATATTATTCTCTGTTATTAAGTAGAAATTCAATTATCTAGCGTCCAAATATTTCGCAGAAGTAACGCACATACATTAATCGTTGAATTTTCCATCAAATCACAGAGTTTGCAGTGAAATTTATTTTTTTTCAAATTTACGTATATTTTCTTTTAAGGCAATAAACTCACACTTTCTAAAGACACCTAATTAAATCTCACTGATATTACGGTTAAGACCTGTGAAGGTTGACTTAACATTATTAAAGTAACAATTTTTTCTAAAATACATCGTTTATTATATATCTTACATATTTCTTATTATATATTTTCCTTTTAATCGTATAGTCGTTTATTAAGAAAAAATGATAATTCCTCTAAAATTTTTCCTTTCCTTGATTACTCAGAAAAGTTTCATAACGAGAGAAATAAAGAGTTCACTCCTTCTCGTTGAAATAATCTTAAATAACGTTTCGATTTCACGAAGAATTATTTTCAAACACACTGCACATTCTTTCTCAGAAACGATTTCCGCTCGAGCCATATAATTGCCGCCGGTGTACGTTAAACGACAGGTATAATTAATGGTCGCGCAAAGACAACGTCAATCGTTATCATCGAATAATGACATGCACGTAGTTGCCGACGTGGGAAAAATTCACAATAAGTCCCGCAGAAAATAAGTGACACCTGTTTCACCGGCCGTCACGGTATTCCCCCGTTTCAGTGTAACGATCGTCACGAAGTAAGGTGAATCCCGACGTAGAGGCCATATGTGTTTACGTGCATGGAATGCCAATCGTGCAATCGTACATCGTATCGGAGATATTCACGACACACGCAATATTCATGGCTCACGCACGGAAGGACGAAGTATATATTCGTGCATTAACGAGTGAGTTAAAGTTTGCATAAGCGCATATACGTAACGTAGAAGATACGTACGTACTAATCGATCTGTGACTCAGTTCTATGCACTGACGGCCGTCTCGACGTGAGCATTTTAAAACCCCATTTAATGATTCTATGACGCAAGTTGTTTAACTAACGTCATATTTAAGCGCCGTCACGTTCGTATAAATGGTTTATAAAAGTTTACTTTACAAATATTTGTTGAGAAACGAAAGATATATTGATTTATTATTATCATTTGTATATAGACATTCAGAAAAGAGAAAAGCGGAACAAAAGGAAAAGGGACTTCTGCAAAAAAGAAAGTAAAGAAAGAAAAGAATGCAGAGAAAAAGAGTTGGCTGGGACCTAAATGTGTCTTAAAAGAATAACTTTGAAGAAAATCTTTTAGAAGAATATGTTGAAGGTTTTAGAAGCAATATATAAATAGTTTAGAAAAGTAAGATAAAAGTTTTAAAATTCCTTTTAAAGGATTTAGAGACCTTCTGCTAATGTTGACTGACCTTCTGTATTCTTATTCTCGAACTTTCCAAAAACGACATTTACCATAAATCACATGGTTGTATTGTTAAGTATATGTAGCGAACTAAACTGTTTAAGCGTGACGGTCAGCATACACATTAGAAAGCATCGCATGCAATGTGACATTAGGTAAATGGAATACCAACAAGCAATTTGCATTAATTGAATAAACGTCTGTGTGCGATTTGATTCTAATCTTGATATGTGTGTGCCGACAACCTAATCAGCAGTCTATATTACTTATCGAGGAATGAGAAAAAATTATGCAGTTAAACAACAACAATTGCGACTTTTTAAAGATATTTCCTCAATATGCCGGAAATTGATACGATAACTGATAAAAATTTGTTGTTCCATTAATGATATACATCGGCCGGGTTTCTTCGATTTCAAATTTCCCATTAAATCAAACTAAGTTGCAACAAATCAGAATCCTATGAATGCTCAGTAAAAATACTTTTTACTGTAAAAAAAACACAATAATATAATAATAATAATCCATGTATGTGTGACAATTTTAGATTCCTACAAAATATTCATATGTATATATATATATATGTTCTAAATATTTTTTTTCCTGAAGTCGTCAATCTTTTTGAAAAGGGAAAAAATTATTCTATGATTTCGATTTAATTTTGCACGTGGAATCATATCATCTGCAGTTGTATCTTTAGCCCGTATATTTAAATTCGACAGGCGAACAGCCAATTAATATTTAAATAAAAACGAATACAGCTTCGTTTACATTGATAACCTCAATATTCCAATACTTGTCGGCATATCGACGCTAGTTATAACGGCCCTGGAGAAACCCCTGGAGAAACCTTGCTTCAAACTCCCCTCTCTAAAAACGTTCTAAAATTCTCAGCTTTCATCACATACATTGTCATTAACTAGTTGGAATCCTTCAAAAAAAATCTCTTTCAAGAAAATATCGACATTTAGAAAAAAAGGTTGATATTTTAAACGACGAATAGAAATGTAGTATACCCTACTCAAGGGACCTAGGTTCTGGGGTATTTATAGAGACTTCAGTTCTTAGTCGTGTTATTCTTCGGTCGTGTCTTGTTCAGTTCAAACATTCGGTAACTAGTCTTCGAAGTCATCGAAATTCACTCTCCCGCCAGTTAAGGGCCGGGAAGAGTCTTATTAATTTCTGGTTACGCTCGCGGGGCGATTCGTGATTTACTTTAGGATCGGACTCCCACCTTTAACCGGTCTGGTGAGATAGCGCACGTGCATACTCGCCGAGGCAGGTAGACGAGCAAAGAGCGAGGAGGTAGTGACAATCGTGTTACGGCTTCCTTTTATCAGTCAAGCCGAACCGCGCGAGGCACGCGGATCAACTGAGACGCCGATCGTACTCTCTCGAAAAATCGGAAAAAGTATCGACTTCCTCTTTATCTTCAGTGATAGTGATTTTTTTATTATAACGCTAAAAATCCTGACAGCATGTTCGTATTTCCGACTAGTCTTTTGTGAAATTTCTCGTGAAAAAAATAAATCACTTGAGTCGCACGAAGAAGGAAGAGTCAAGCTGCATCATATCCGAAAGGTCATCAAAAGGATCTAAGTTTCCGCTGAAACCATAGGTAACGAATTTCCCACGGACGAGGGTCTATTGAAGAACTTCGACACGCTGGCGTACATTCAACGTGACATACCTACGTAAGTATTGATACATATTGGCACCATTTGTCTTACGATTTTTTGCCCGTTTTTATTGTTCTACTTTCTCCCTTTCTCTTTTCTTTTTTTTTATCAGTGTCTAATGCATTTCTAAGAATTCTATTATCTGTCTATTATATCGATAATTTTATTGTCTCGATAAAATATAGATAGAAGATTACTATTGATAAATGCAACTGAGGTAATTCTGATGTATATTTTAACTCATCGAAGTACAAGCAGATTTATTGAGCGCGCGAAAGCGCATGCGTCCGTAAATTTTCATTCGCGATCGTTCCGACTTCTTCTTTTGTCAACATAAAGAAGAAAGAAAGGAATCATTTATTCACATTTATATATAAAAAAAATTAATGGCATTTCATCGATTTCTAATAAAACGAATTAATCTGTGCAATAAATAAGAATTTTGTAAAATAATTTAGAATATTTTTTTAAAATATTTTAGAAATAAACAATTACATGGAACAAAAGTACATTGTGAATTATGACTAATATTTCTTGAAAACCATTAGTAAAGTAAATTTAAATGCAATTTGTGATATGAAGTTTAAAGCTTTCTCGATATTTAATGTTTTTAAGTCAACGTGAGCCATTCTCAAGTAATGAGCTTAGCCTAATAGTTAATAAATCTGTCTGCCGTTGCCATAACGTTGTGAAGCAACTTCAAAAGACCATTTGAGCATTTGAACAATTTTAGTCTTTTATTATCCGTGTGAAAGTGAACATACTTTTAAAGCGATTATCGCGCATGATAAACGTGTTTTTTAACATGATGATTTCCTTGGACGAAGTCTAAAGTGGAAGTGTATTATTTGTCTGAATGTATATACGTTCGCAAGGATTATATATCGTACAGCGATGATATGGTAATGCAACACGAGAGTATTCATATAGCAGTTTACAGAGTGATTGATAATCGTCAAAGTACATGATCAGGCACAGACGAGCGAAATTATCGTAATTACATCATATTAATATCCAACTTATTTATCAGACTTAATTCAATCGAGCTTAATTGAACAAATGAATAATAATGCGATAAAAGTTACCGTGGTAATTAATATTACACACGCATATGGAGACAGCGATCTGCCAAAATTAATCGTTTATTTACTTCGCCGGTCGAAAAACAGAAACCAACAGATCGCCATGTGATATTGTTAATTATCGTTTCTTGGTATTATTTATTATTTTCTTCGATACGATAAAAATAAAATTTTTTCTGACGATCGCTCTCGAGTTCACATGCGGTTGATTTAAATCGGCTTTTTCCGTACTTTCGCGAACCAAAGATTGCGGAAACGTCTCGCATTCGAACGTGGAAAAAGCGCGTGCATCCCTTTCTCGCACGCGCGTGCGTAATTTAATTCTGGCGACACGTGCGATCAGATTAAATCGCGGTGCAAAAGAGCGAGTTGTCTATCACTCCCACGGCGGTCTTGCTGATTCTGCATATTATGTTATACGAGACCTCCGAACGTTAGCTGGCCAGAGCAACGACTTGGGCGGTAATAATTATCGTTATCAATCACTGAAGACATATCGCGATTGCCTTAATTTTCTTTTAAGAATATTAATGATATGACGACACAGCTTATACATAGATAAGAATGGCGCATTATCAATAATAAAAAGAATTCCTTTTCTCTCATTTCTCAGACAAATAAATTTTCGGCGATTAACCGGTAACATCGATATTAGTAACTTAACATATTCGCTACTAAGATTTATTTGGGATATTTTCCCCGCAAACTATTTTATATATTTTTTTATGTAACTGAATAAAACGGATTTAGTTTGATAATGCAGATATGAGGAAAAATTATGCTGTTACGCTGATCTCTCGTCTAGATAGCTCGTAAAACGCAAGACGCAGGTTGCAAATGCAGACACAAAATGACGATCAGCTCTTTGTATTTGCTGATAGTCATCTTGTGTCTGCGATTACGACCTGCGTTTAGCGTTCTGCGAGCTATGTGGACCAGGTATTAAAGATCGCTGCGTCGAACACGTGTGACATTGATAGTAAATGTGATTAATACTATATATCAGATGAATAATATTACCAATTCAAGGCAATATTTCTGTAGTCTATCTAGGAACTTCAACAGGTAAAAAGACGTTGAAGCTCGCGACTAATATTACTTTTACAGATAATTCGTGACAAACGGAGGAATATAAGTTAAATTGCTGGTCATTATTCGGTTATCGACTTTCTATCTGACGAGCATTCTCGCTGTCCGTTATGAATTATGCGGGAGAGATATTATCCTCTCCTCCTTTCTCCTTCTTGACGAACGATTAGGTTTATATTAAACTATCGATTTCATACATTGATAAGATTTCCACGATGGGCGCGCGAATTTTCAAGTTTCCACTCCTGAAACGTAGATCTAAGTTCTTGGACACCACCTGCGTCCTAAGAATCGTGTTACGTGTACGTAAACGTAGTGGTTTTACGTAACCGGGTTTCACGATTTCTGCAATCGTGGTCTTTAATTTTTTTCGTCCTTGCATTTTTATGTCCTCGTCATTAATCTGTTTTTTATTTCTCTTTCTTCTATTAACAAAATAGATTTAAACAAAGTAGTTTATGTACGGTATGCAAAATGCACAAATACGTTCATTTGAATTTTACCCAATGACAACTATTGCAGAATAGCGATACTGAAATAGCTAACAAACGCGCAGCTGATAACACACGTGTATTGCTTAATACTTGACAACCTTGACAAACAATATTAGCATTTCTAGTTCTAACTGTCCTACTGTATATTTAATTGCAGGTTTAAACTTGCAAAAATAGGCAGAAGCAATGTAAGCTTGTCGCAGGTTGATCCTAAGAACCTTCGACCTCGTACGAGATATTGCAACGTTGTACGTCGACACCGCATTCGGTACGTATATAACGAAATGAATTTTCGTGTTGAGTGTTAGGGTATTTACCAAAGTCAAGACACAAATGATAGTGACATATGCAACAAATCCGAATTAACGTCAATTTACTATAAACAGAGTTTAATACTTTATAATTAAAAGTGCATTTCGTTTATTTATATAGATGTTATTTCCGTGTTGTTCCTATGATATAACGATTTCTTAAAAATTTCGAAAGGAAAACTGTCTGATCAAAGCGTTTGATTTTAGCTATGGTCGTTTTTCCGGGCTCTGTGACTGAGCCAGCTTTGCTGGACAGTAATGATTTGATACATGACTACAAGATTCCCATTGACATGACAGAGGATATCAACTTTAAAAAAATTAAGGATGAGGCATTTGCCATACCTCGCGTCATGATGACGAATGGAAAGACTAATTATGCGCTGAACATCGAGAGCATAGACAGGATCGACAAGCGGAACATTCCGACAGAAAACATTAATGCAGAACCCGTCGTTACAGAGAAGATGGCCGGTAAGCAATATCATCGATTTTAAATATATGCGTGCTATAATTTTTCTTAATATTTAAATGTATTAAAGTATCTATTTTATGTAATGAGTGAATTTTTGGTGAGTCAACATTAAACTTATATTTTATGTCTCGCATTTTAACTAAAAAATATATATTCATGGAAATGAGTATTGTAACAGAAATTTTAAAGTACGAAGAAATTTTTATTCTTCATTGAAAGTTTGATTATTCCAATTGAAATAGGAAAATAATAAAAATGACCAAGGTTAGAGACGTATCTAAGCATTAAATATTTCCACCTTAATATCGCAACATTTTCGATTTCTGATCAAGTGTGCACTTGAGAGTCTTACTCTTCGCGAGGTTTTACCTAGAATAAAATTCAAGGTGTATAATTAGGCTGACGAATGACGTAATATAGAAGAACATTTGACATAAAAATAGAAATTACGAGAGATAAAGAAATTGTGACTTAAACAGTGACTTAAACAAATTCTACCGGAAAACTGATAATTTCGCACGAAAATGACTCACTTATCAACTTATCGACTTACACGTGACGACCTTTGCGCTATTGCCAACTCCTTTTCTGGCATTCTTCTCTCTTATCTACCTAGTATAGTACCATTAGATTGCTGACAAGCGTAAGAATTTTTGTATGATTTGGCTGAATCGACGGGAACGAAAATATAAGAGAATGGACGGCACGTCGTCAAATCGAATCTCGATCTCAAATTGAAAGCAACAGCAATGTGCGAGAAGCGCCGTACACCTGCCAAACGAAACGACGTACGTCCACGTTACGCTACGTATAAAATTCACGAGTATCGCGCAAGTTGATTTGAGATACAAATTCCCGCAGTTTTGCACGATTAGCGAGCGACGGTGGAGTGCAATATGGCGAGATGGTCCGCTCGGTAGACACTTAGCGCTTGACAAATTCCGACAACGTAATCGACATCCGATAACACCGCGGCTAATCCACTATGTCTCTTTAACTTGCGAAATTCTGCACCGGCGGGACGTGAATGGATTAATCGCCACGCGCTATGACAAATTGTTCGCGAATACCGTGACGAAAGGTCGCACAGTGTACACACAGTGATAATAATGACGACGAGGTGACTGTATCGATAATGATGTGCCACGACCGTAGAATTCAGAGTACCATGAAATTACGCCGGTTTATAAATGTTGTTGCACGGAGAGGATGTACGTTCAGTGGCCGTGTCGCGCCGTTTACGCGTCAGGTGAAACATAATTTTTCTGATTTGTTTACACGCGGATGACAAGACAGTAGAAACGCTGAGAAACTGCCGGAAAACCAATTATCTTAGGTTAACCAGCGAACTATTTAAAGTTCCCTTTTAAGTCTCATGTGAATTTCAACCAAACAGATTTCAGGGACAAGTGCAAGGTCGATTAATTACAGTTCGTACAAAAAATATATCCCGTAATACGAATTTCAGCTTTCAGTGACCATGAAAATATACCCTCAAAATGTAATCGACTAAATGTCATTTGCTTGTTCACTTTTAAAGCATAACAGATATAATCGAGCCTCCCGAAATAATTCCACGTATTATATTTCATTTAATTATATTCATAGTTCCATTTGACCTGGCTCTTTCACTTTCGCCCGCCAATCGACTGATAATTTATGTTAATTGGATGCGGCATGTTTTAACAGCTGGCCAGAAACGTTCCAATGGCGAGGAAGATAAGGACAAGAAAGCCATGTCCGACGACAATTTTGGTGACAAAGGCGGAGGATCTCTTTCTAGCAGTTCCATTGTAACAATCTCATCGACTGCGGATCCAAACTATCCTAATGGCTCGAATGGAGACAGGAACAAAGTAGACATCAGGACCGAAAAATGGTGCCACACAATTTTACAAGTGTCGGTGCCTTTCTTCATCGCCGGTGCCGGCACTATTGGTGCCGGCTACATTCTCAACACGGTGAAGGTGAGGGTGCTCCCCGGGGGTTCTTTCTTTACCGGCCGGTCGGCAACTTCGACTATTTGTACAAGTCGCCGAAATCGGGAAAGAATTCGAATCTCTAAATTATTCGTTTTTTCTTAGACTGTCCCTTATCGGCTCACTGTTTGTCGTCGTCTGAAGATAAAATAATGCGACTCTATCGTGTCAAAGACGATCTCCGCCTCTTTTATCAGATCCGATGCACTTTATCGAACATACGAAGTAGGATACGGTGTCATTCTTGACGCGACACTGGCGCAATTGTATAAGCATCTTAAGTGCTTTCAACATTCTTGAGTAACGCCGATCTCCGGCAGAGATTTGCGATTGACGTAGTAGCTCGTCCAAGATCATAAAATCGTAGTACGATTAGTCCGAAGCGAGATAATCGCGTAGCCTTTATCGTGAGTTTACATTGTTCTAGAGCCCACCTACTCCAAAGAGAACTCAAACGCCCGAATAACGATAAGCAAATTCATTGTCTTTCGCTATAAGATGCATGTATCGCGGCATAAATGAATATAATAATATAACGTGCCTCAAATTTCTATAATTATGATAAAAATGATTTCGTAAACAAGCGAAGATAAAAAACAGATTGCATGTCTAAAACAAATGCTCCATCAGATCGCAATTTTTTTATCAACCGTTTTAAATCTGATAAACTTCCGTATTTCAAATTTTTTTATTATATAACATTTTAATTGATGAAAAATTTAATCACATAACATGAATATGAAAACACGTGCAAATAGATAAGAGGAATCTCTCTCATAAATCTTCACTCAGAAGTTAAAATTTACGACAGCGATTTTGTTACATCCCATATAATAATAAGGAATATTACATGTTATTGTTACGAAAATTAAAAGTAATCCTCGTATATACAATCTTATCGTAACATATATAACCAATCTGTAGAGCGCGTTGAACTATAACTGCGTCGCGGGACACATAAGGAAAGCAGAAAACAATTGACTCATGTTAAACTGCCCCCAGTAATTCGAATTCTTTCACGTATGTCTATAATGATTGCATTTGTTTTCAGAACTGGGAGGTGTTCAAGACAATCTCCGAATTGCTGATCTTAGTACCAGCACTGCTTGGTTTAAAGGGTAATCTCGATATGTGCTTGGCGTCGCGGCTGAGCACGCAAGCGAACTTGGGTAACATGTTCAGCGCGCGGGAAACTGTCAAGATGATCATCGGTAATATCGCTCTGGTGCAAATCCAGGCGATCGTCGCGGCAATCTGCGTGGCGGTGTTCGCCATGACAGTAGGTGCAATCACTACCGACACCGACAACGGTTTCGACTGGAATCACGCGGTATTGCTGGCGGCCTCGAGCGTCAGCACGGCGACCAGTTCTTGCTTTATCTTAGGTAAATCCCACTTATTAATATTAATTGACAAACGTCGTTTACGCTCGTACTCATGAGTCGACACCTGTTGAGAGGTTATTCGTGATACCGTTTCCATTCCTCCGCCTATAATTATCAGCAGTTCGATCGGATATTAGCATTAACGATTGCTATCGCAGCTTGCAACTCGAATGCATATTATACTTACAGATGCGTGTTTTACACGAGTTTCTTGCTAAATATAAAGATCTATTATATTCTCTTTTTTGTGCAACGAGAATTATTATGCCGACGCGGAAAGTTCCTACATTCCAGGCGCACCTACGTTCTAGCGTTCGACTGAAAGGTCACGCGACCTATCGCGTTTCATAATCGTGATTCATGCCACCTCTTTATTAAGATCCGATCGTCTTTCCTTTGCAGATTTCCTTTTGATCGCCGTCATCATGTTATCCTACCGATGTAAAATGAATCCGGACAACTTGGCGACTCCCTTGGCAGCGTCCTTCGGTGATGTCGTGTCTATCAGCGTTTTATCCGGCATCTCATCGCAGCTCTATCTCAGACTGGGCACTCAAATATGGGTGTTATATGTCATTCTTGCGGGGTACCTCTTGCTCTTGCCATGTTGGATTATAATAGTGTTAAAAAACAAATACACGAGTAAGGTGTTGAAGACTGGTTGGGTTCCAGTATTGTCCGCTCTCCTCATCAGTGGGTTAGTCCAACATAGTCTGTTATTTAATTTATTTAAACACATTCAGATTCTTCCAATGCTTCATATTTCTCGACGATTTCAGACCAAATTATTCATCCGTGATGTTACGAATTATTTGCTTGCACACTAGCTTTTACTCACTTATTATCTTGTGTTATTCCATATTTAATTGATACATAAATTTATAAGTTATATTAATATAATCTATAACATGATTTTTTTATATATATTTTATTATAAGATATATTAATATAACATAATATGTTGTAAAGTTCATACTAATAATTATTATTTTGTGTTGAACGTTGTTCTTTATTTACATATACAATTATGCCATTTTCTGTTCTTTAGCTTTGGCGGATTAATCCTTGATCGCGTTGTCAACATGTACAATGGATTCGCTATCTTCTCACCAATTATTAATGGCATTGGTGGCAACCTTGTGTCTGTGCAAGCATCTCGTACCTCTACAATGCTACATCAATCTTCTATCATGGGAATTTTGCCACCGAACGCCAAAATATTTATAGCACCGTGGAAAGTGCTTTTCAAAGGATGTAAGTAATTAATTTAAATTAAATTTAAATTAAAACCTACGTCGAAAGGCACATTTATATTACCGTTATTACTGCCAAAGAATATGTTTCGTCAATAATTATCAATATCTTCTGGATATATTCTTTTTCTGCATTCCCGTTTCTCTCGTCTATGCTCAAGCAAACGCACATTGTCCTATATAATGTGTTTTTAATTAACACAGGAATTTTCTATGCATCCGTTCAATAACTGATAGTGTTTATTCCTTAACAAACAGCTCAAACCGCAAAGACTGCTAGGATGCTCATTGGCATGGCGATTATCGGTCAGCTGATCTTCGTCTTTGTCGCCGATTACGTGAACGAAGACAATTGCATGTTGAATGCATACTTCGTAGTCGCCTATCTGATTGTCTCCGTATTGCAGGTAAGTTATGCAACAGATTCGATAAGTTTATAATTTGATTAAAAATTCAAGAGCCAGCGAATATAATACAATTCTCTTTGTATCAGGTGATGTTCCTCTTATACATCGCGTACATTATGATCCATGCGATGTGGCGATACAAAATAGATCCTGACAATTCGGCAATACCCTACTTAACGGCACTGGGAGATCTCAGCGGATCCCTGTTCCTAGCGTTGGCCTTCTGGTTCATATACGTAATACATAAGGAATACTGCGTAGGTGAGTCAGTCGGCGGAGCAACGTAGACCAATTAGAGTTAAAAGGAAAAGTGTGTTGTATACACGGTACAAGAAGCGTTTAGTGATAACTTTTAGCGATAATTTTACGAACGAGAATAAACAAATTAATTGCCGTAAAAACAATTTGAATTCATTTATTTGAAATGATAGGCGGAACGGCATTTATTTGTAACAATTGGCGGAACGGCGTTAGAAATAACAGCCAGTCGACTCGATTAGTATTCTCGAAAAGAAAAGAACGCAAAACCAGTACGATATTGTAAACAAGGACGAGAGAAGTAGACAGAAAAATACTCACATTAGGGATATAATTAAACAATCGTTATTGATAATCTGTTCGCGAAAACGAGTAATCCGCGACTATAGGACACAAACTGTTCAAATAAGATCGATTAGTCGAGATCCATATGATAAATTGTAGTTTTAGTTTTAGCAAGTATGATTTTTCTTCAGTATATCGCGCGTTTTCTCGCGTTTTCTCGGCAACACGAATATCTCGTAAATCAATAGAAGCCTAGTCAATTCAATAGCAACAATTCAGTAGCATCTAAAAGACGTCTAGGGAGTGTGCTAAATCTCTGAAATTTCCGCCTTTCAGACGTCATTTAGGCATTCATACTGTCTGAATAATAGTGTCGTGATACGAGATAAAATAGGGAAGCACAACAGCGTTGCGATATATTCTAATTTTTAAATAATGATCATAATTTATAAAATTATGAACAGTCGTAAATAAGCGAACGTATCTATAGGGATTTGTACTCTTGGCGTTCGCTGGACATTTGAAGCAGTCATTCTGTCATGAATATAATATACTAATGTTAGGCAATAATGTATTGACGAGTAAGACCCATTTTAGATGATCTGTAATTTCTCAAAGAGTAATTTTATTTATAATTTCATGTGACATGTAACACGAAAAACATTTGTGTGTATATGAGTGTACGATATGTATTTGACATGTACACATACATCTACAGATATAATTCCGATTCTTCAAATATTATACAAATAGAATTTTGTGCACAAAGTTTCGTTGCAAATTATCTAAAATGGGCTTAATGAACGAACAGTTTTGAATATGCTTTTGTATAAGTCATGTATGTTGAATATATTTTTGAAAAGTATGTAGTATATATTATATATATACTACTATATTTAATACAAAAATGCATTTATACATCAACATATAATACATCAACATATAATACATCAACATATATTTTATAAAATTCATATGTATTTATATGCAATTAAAATATACATGTACATTTTTTTACAAACGCATATTCAACTCGCGAATACATTTTTCCACTGTCACACACATAATGTTACACAATTACGACTATCAAAGTGATGTTCCGATATCGCGTTAACTGCGTATACTGCGAATCATTAAGACAAATGATAATCGCGATCGTCCCTTACCGCTAATTTATGTACTTTATTTAATTACGCAAGCGATCTTCGAGACAACGATTATATAACGCGCGTTGAACAATGCCAAGTAATTAGTTTGCGTCAATTATCAATCCCCGAACATGCGCAGAATTCACGTTTCAAGCATTCGTTTTCAACGTTTTGAGTGTTATGACGTTTCCTACTACGCTGTAGCAACGATATCGTAACTAAATTTGAACTTTCTTCTATCAATTAGATATATTAAACGAAATCAGACATCCATTCTTTTCGTCAGCACTCATTCTCATAACATAGCGAACATAACGCATGCGAAACTTGCAAAATTCAACCGATATATTTAACAGAATAAAACTGTTAAATATGATTTCAAAATTTGCTCGGTTTCTTTTATATTTTTAAGAACGACTCACTTTTAGGTCGTGTGTTTCATGTATAATATTTATATACTCGTGTGTGTTGCAGACAGTAACGCATAATTGAGACATATTGTCTCCACATATTATGCATTTTAATCACATTTTAATGTCATATATTAATTATTATTAATCTTAATATTATACCTGCTGTAACGGTTCAATTAAGGGCCCGGCGAATTTTAAAATTAGTTTATTCAATTGGATCGTCAATGATTCATGAAGTAACAGTATTTTTCTTTCAATACATTAATATTATTCACCGTCTCAATGCTATTTACTATTGAGAGTTGCAAAACTAATGGTCGACTGTATCAACCATCTATTTTAATAGATACATGTATACCGCAACGTACAAATAATTATACAAACTCAGGTGATCGTCTTTCGAATAGTATTTATTGCCAACATACATCCCTGTCAGAAGTGTACTTATTTATCCTCATTCTATCAAGTAACAGCGTTAAATACTTCGACCTTTATAAGCTGTTTTAGAAATTAATTCAAAAGATCGTGAACGAGAAATGTATTCCATAAAAAGTGTATTTTATAACGAATTAGTCGTCCAAAAGTCACTTTGAATGCGAAGCAATTATAAATAAAGACCAAAAGTAATACTTTAGACAGGCAACTTTTAATCGTCATACAATCGATATTTATCTTCGAATTTTTTCACGCGTGATGCTCAAAAAATAAATATAAAAGGTACTTAAGTATAACCACATTTGTTCTATCTTTGTTGTGCAAGTATTTTAAAAACACATACAATTTATACTAAATGCGAACAATAAACAAAGCTATGTGAGGAGAATACCACAAGTAGTTGAAGTGATTAACTAATCTCTCTAAACAGAAATTTTTAATATTTATGTGAAGTCGGTGGCGTGGGCGACGCGTGGGTGACCACTCTAAATTTTTCATTTGAGTCGATTAATACTTTGGCTCTTTGGCTACTTTGGCTAACAATGGAACATGATCATAAAATACTTAAAATATTTCATCCATTGCATTTGCGATCCTTTGGCGGTCAAATTGTTCGAAATTTTATTCCATCGTACGCGTACGCGCCCAACAATTCCGAACCAACGTATCGCGGATACTGACAATAATATCGACATTACCTCTGGAGTAACGCCGTTTACTTACCGACGGTACAAAAATGCTAACGGTAGCACCAGATCCGTGTCACACGAAAAAGCAATCGTCTTCTGAACGATTCGTAGTCTGGATAACTTTCTCCAAACCCCGATTAATTTGACGATAAAGTGGCATAGAATTGCTAAAAGCAATTTCTAACTATATACTTTGTCATCTGACAACAACCAACGAATTAAGAACTCTACGTAAGTTAACAAATATGGCCGCGTTGATACTTGACGGTTATCAATTTGAAATACAAGTGAGGAAGAGAGAAAACTTGAGAATCTCTCACTTGTTCGAACAACCAACCACCTTCAGGTTTTTATCATTAACTGTTTAGGTCATTGTTATTAGCTCAACCCAAATGTGGAGAGAGCCATCGTAAGAATTAATAGTTGTTGCTTCAAACTCGTCCCACGCGAGATACTCGGATATCTCTTATCTAGCTTTGCCACGGAAGTTTTGCATCGTATCAGGACGATTCGCACCATGACGTACTGGAAACGCGAACCGTGCAAGCTGTGAAGTGAAGCGATTGCATTTTCGTATATCTTTGGCAGTCGAGCGGTTCGAAATTCCGCTCCGACATCAGACTCTCAAACGCGCGCGACAATCCCGGACCGACATATTGGGAATACTGATCATGATAACCATAGAGATATAAGAATAGAGGGAACAAGGGATATATGCTACCTGTAAGTGGAAATGATAGAGGCAAAGAGAGAGATGGATGCCGAGTGCCCTGTCTCTTTCTAGTCGAGCGCTGTGATTGGTTGTTACAATGAGCCGCCAAGACGACCACGCGACGTCAGGAGGGGAGAAAGCAGACTAAAATTTCGTTTTGTAAATATGCGTGCACATGTGTGTAGAATTAAAATTCGTTAAATATTCGAACGTTAACAAAATAATAATTGGACGCGATTTGTTTAAAAATGAGGCATTGTTTGAAATGCAAGGCGGAGTCTTATCCTGGATATAACCGCAGTTTTCACTCGTAAGAAAGTACAAATACGTAACCTCAAATAATTATGTTATTTTTTCCTACATTTAAAAAAATATGTAAATGTTGTAGGCTACCGAAGGATGTAGATATAAGGCGTAAATGGTTGAATATACTTCAACTACCTTTGTATTTTGAAGTGAAAACAGCATATATTTGCAGTGATCATTTTGGCAATGACAGTTTCTTTAAATTGGATGGAGAAAAATGTATAGCTATATCGTCGTTGGCGCGGCAGCCAATCCCAGCGCGTGACTAGAAAGAGACAGATAGGACACTCGGCATCCATCTCTCTCTTTGCCTCTATCACTTCCCTTACAGGCTTGTTCCCTCTATTCTTATATCTCTATGGTGATAACGGACTACAGTCAGCATTCGCAATATGTCGGTAACGTAGTAAGTCGATAACGTCGTAATTACCTCCGGAGCGGCGAGAAAGTCTCTTACTTACCGACGGCAGAGAAATGCTAACGGCTTGCACTACCTGTTTTACACGAAAAGACAACTATCTTCCGAACGATCCACAGTTTGGATCGTTCTTTAAATTCCTAATAATCTAATCGACGATTAAGAACTACCAATAGTAATTCATAATTAGGCAAATTGTCGTCTGATAATATCAACGAATTAAGAATTGTATATATGTTAACAGAAGAATAAGAAACCGTTCATACTTGACTGATATCAATTTCAAGTGCAGGTTATAAAGAAAGTACACGAGAATCTCTCATTTGTTTGAACAACCGAGCGTCTTTTAGCTTATTATTACTAATTTCTTACGTTATTACTATTAGCTTAATCTAAATTTGGAGGTAGTCATCGTAAAAATTAACGATCGTTTCTTCCAACTCGCCTCACGCGAGATACTCAGATCCCTCTTACCTGGCTGTGCCACGGAGTCGTTACATTGCGTCACGACGATTCGTACTCCGACGTACGTGAAACACGACCCGTAAGGTGAAGCGACCGCATTCGCGCTCCTTTGGCGATCGAATTATTCGAAATTCCGTTCCGACATCGCATTCTCATACGCGCGCGACGATCCCGGACCGACATATGGCGGTTACTGACCATAGTATCGATGTTACATCTGGATCATCGAGAAAACAGCTTACTTTCCGACGGTGGGAGCGCGTCCTGATGGCGCATCGCGCCGCTGACGGCGCTGACGTCGCGGCGGTCAAAGTATCGACGCGCCAGCGACGAGCGAACCTGTGCGCAGTACCTGAACGTTGGTATCGCAGCCTGGGCCGAGGACGCGTCCTACGACAACGGCAACCTCAGCAAAAGTGCATCCGTCGCCGCGTCAAGCCCGCTCTCCGACGTCTGCGTCGCGACGACGCCGTTTTCGCCGGCGGGACCTTTTCAAGAATCGCGTCCCGCTCGCTCCCCGGTCCATCTCGCGACGGACGGTCGTTCACGACGCGTCGTCATCGTCATCGCGGGAGTGTGTGCACACCGTCCGCACATACACACGGTGTTGCGATGCCCGCGGCATCCCGTTAACGGTAGCCGCTGCGCTGTCCGTTCCGGCTGTGAGTGCCGCCGATTCTCCGTCGCTGTGCTGAGAGAGAGAGAGAGAGAGATCGACGCCCGGCCTCGCCTCGTCTCGCCTAATCGAGCCGATCATTATGCCCGCGCCGATCCGCGCGCGCCTGTTGCTATCCCGCTACGCGAACGATCTCCAGGCAAGAGGTAATCACGGCATTCACTCGAGCCCGGAACCCCGGAAGCTCCGGGTCGTAGTTTCCTCGCGACTGCGCTCCCTCTCACGCTCTCCTTGCTTTCTTTCCCCCCTATTCTCCGCGCATATTTCTCAGTTCTCGCACACCCGCAATTTCGCTTTCTAATAAGCGAGGAGCGCGGGACAAGGGCGCAGCTGCGAGGGCAAACCTGCACCGCGCCGGTCGCCGAGAGCGATTCGGTCACGGCCGGGTAACGAAGGGCGTAGTACCTGTACTGCGTGCTAGTACGGCCGAGCGTGCCTCGCACCTGCCGCCCTTCTTTCTCTGTCACTTGTCATCTTTTCTGATTTTTCTGATCTGTTGTAGATACCTCTGTTCGCTGCGGGACGAAGTATACTGCTTACTCTTTTCCGCCCTAACTTTTTCTCCCCCTCTCTTTCTTTTTCTCCTTTTCTCAAGTATATTTATTTGGAGGCTGTGGCATCTCTTCGTCGTGGGCTTTTGTTATTTTAGAATGGAATGTTTACATCTCGAAATTGCCCCAAGATCGAACTGAGTGGTAGATTATTCGGCTGCCTTTCCTCATTTGTTTCGACTGTATTTTCCCGCATCTCCTGCGTTTTTTTCTTACACTAACAGATACGTGTCCAAAATCGTGAAAAAGCGAAGTGGCAAGAAATGAATTGTCTGCTTAATGTCATTTGTTTACTCGCTACACTTAAAACCCGGACTTCAGTAACCACTATTGTGTGTTCATTGCTAAGCAGGCAGTCGTCAGATGACAACATTGGAATTTCAGATTAGATTTTGAAAACTTCATCAAAAAAAAGATAAACACTGATCACACATTTGTGAAATTTAAATGTAAAATACATTCTTATGTCTGTCTCTATTTTACAAATTATACATTCGCATTAATTTTGCATGTTTAACGTTTCAAAGCAGAACAATAAAAAGTAATCGCTGTTTCTAGTGATTTTTGCATTTAGATTATATGGAAAGCGAAGGTGCTTAGAATATTTTATATATGTAGATTGTGCGTGACTGCGACATCTAATACTGCTTCAAAACGAGGCCCTCCGCTCATCGGGCTAATTTTGCGTTTTAGAATGTGGCGATGTTATAAATAAATCGAGATAAGTCGCCACTTCTAGTCATGACTGGAATATGAGAGACTAAAGTAGCGAGATACGAAGTACAAAGTGGACAGTCCGCATTCGATTCGACATCGTCTCCATGTGAATCTCCGCCTGTTAATCGCTCCGGAATAGTCGTGCATTTGCTCTGTTACGTGATGACACTGACGTTCTGATACGGAGAATAACAGTGGCCTGTATTTGCACGTTTAGCGTTTAGACGCGACTATACTTACGAGTCTTCGAAACCTGCTGGTCATGTACGATATTCACTGATATGTATTATAAAATCGATATTTTTAAGCAAAACATGAACGCGTGAATTTCTGGAAGTTCGTCGGTCGAGAAGTTCAACGCAAGTTCTAAACTGAAAAACATTATTCTCTTAAAACGGAAACAACGAAGTTTAAATTGATTGCTCTTCAGTACGCAGAAAAAAAGTTTCTTTAGATTTAATAAAACTTCCTCGGTTGAAACAGATATGTCTTTTGGAATAAAGTAAACAAATAAATGTTCGACTCAACGAACAGGATTGTTTGGTTTCTCAAGCAACAAGTATCTCGACATAACATATTTCTCTCGTTTTTTCATCCAAACATTACAACGGTTGTCACAAGCGGTAAATTATTTGGCAGAAGTAACACTATATTAGAAAAATATTAAATAACTTTTTTGTTTCGGTGAAACAATATTTAATTTATGTATAATGAAATAAATTTTTTTATTGAAAACAAAATATTATTTCCTCTAAATGATACTATTTTTTCTATCAAACAACCTTTCCCTTCAAATAAAATGATATTTAATATTAAATTATGTTGTTTATATTAAACAAACTCAAGTCAGAACACATATACTAAATCCAAAGAAATCTCTTCTTTTCTCTCTGCGCACGGAAAGACAGGTTTCTTTGAATCAAGTATTCTTATTTGTTTGATTTGAATTCGTTTGACTCAAACTATAGTTTTATATCAAATATTATTTCATGTTTCATTAGATTAAATTATGTTTATTTGATAGAAAAATACATATACTATGTAAAGGAAATAAAATTTAATTTTCAACCAAATAATATATTATTTACTTATATTAAACATTTTTTGGATGGATTTAATTGAAAAACAAAAATTAGACAATTTCATCCTCTTGCAAGTAGTATTAATATTATCAATATTAATATTTAATAACTAAATATTAATAACTTCGAACATCCCGATCGTAAAAAAATGTTGTTAATCAGACTACAATGTCTCTCCACATATATCAACGTTTATGTCATGTTGTTCAATTTGATTAAACGCTACCGCATCGGAAATGTTCACTTCGATCCGCGTACGTTAGAGACAAATCTATGAGGATTCTTTCTGTCGCATCGCAGCGAATTAAGAGCTCTCACGTCTCAGAGGCGAGACACGCGAACACGTCCGACGTTGGTGTGTGTTTACGCGTGCTCGCAGGCACGCATGAGCGTGCGTACGGTTCTCGGATGCGCCGAGTGTCAATTAACGATGCCGATGGGCGTTCCGACGGGCGCTCGCGCCGGGACCGACCGGCACGTTAATTTTAGCGTAATGGATCGATCTAAGAGGAGGATGCGTTTTTAAATAGCCCCGTCGAGATGTATCGCGCGCTCGTTATTTCGAAGCGGCCACCACGCGCCGCGTTCGAAGCCTTCTTTCTCGATGCAGCTGCGCGCGTACGACGACCCGCGTCGAACGAACGTAACTTGCATTGTTTTGTCTGGAAGAAATTAAACGTGAAATTTAAAGCGGTGTTTAGTATTCCGCAAAAGTCAAGTCAAAGCAAACGCTGATTGATAGAATCGGAGATCAGTTTGGAATTACGTGAATCAGTGTTGCGATAACTCATATGCATGCGAATGAAATTTCCTTATCTCTCGACAAAAGATTAATGAAGAAATTAATCTTAATTGAATGTTTACGATGTTTATGAAAGCCAACCTTAATTGAATGTTTACGATGTTTATGAAAGCCACACGTGTTTACAATTAATATTACGCTATTTTTTTTTTTTTTAATAACTTCTAGAACCAGGTGAAATTGGAAAATGGGTGAAAAATATAAAACGGACTTTACGTTAAATTGACTGAAATGCACAAAAATGTGCACACGGCTTGTAACGTGTTAATACACTCGTTATTTTACGCTCGCACGATTTTTAAAGCGACACACGACGCGTACGCGTTGTACGCAATGTTCTCTCTTTTGCGTTCCCCACTTGTCCCTTGTATGTACGTACTAAAGTACACGATAATTGGTTGCAATTAGCGATATATCACCGTAGGATGCAACGAAGTCAGTTGAGGGACATCTCATCCTGGATGACGCGCCTATTCCCGGAGCCTGGAGACGGTAGCAGTCTGATTGACGGGTTCAAAATGTTCGGCTCGAAGAACAGCTCGCCCACCAGCACGTTTTACACCGATCTCGAGATTGCGGGGGAGGACAAACAGGAGTTCCACAAGGACGAACATTCCAAGGCACCGTGCTTGTCGGAGCAGCAGAGCGCGACCAGCGAGGATGGGAACTCGCAGGACTCGGACACGGCAACAGGTGCCGATGAACAACAGTATGTCAGACATTCCTTCCACAGGATCGCCAGTTTCGGCGGCTTCCCGAGATTTCAGCCGTTCGTCATGTCCGCTTCCACGCCGGCCGAGTGCATCGATATCACGAGGCACGAGGAAACCTCAACTGAAACGTCCTACATTAAGATGTCACATAGCGTCCTAGAATACAGAAGCAGCAGGTGAGAGCGCAGACTTGATAAAGAAAAAAACGAGTAAAAGAAATGGTAAAGCAGACTCCATTAATGCTGTCACATTCTGTAGGTATAGTTACATCAACAATTTCCAATCAGGAGCATTATTTGTACATCATGACTTGATAATTCGACAAATCAGCAACAGTCATGATGCACAAATATTCAAAAATAATACGCCTAATTAGAAATTTTCAGCGTTACTGCGCCCTATGCAATGAAAATGGGATAGCATTAATGGTGTCTACAAATTGTATAAACATAGTGCACAGTTGACAGATCAAAAGTTGCGACATTTTTTTCGATGAATTTCGCAACGTATCTCATATCCAATAAGAAGATATATCTCCTGAGAATTACTGAAAAATAAATTCTCTTATTGGACATGAGATGTATTGCGAAACTCACCGAAAAAAAGTACTGCAACCTTTAATCTATTGACTATGTACATATCTCCAATTGAGAAGATCCTTACACACATATTTTTGAAAATTAACACAGGTACGTGGCCTCAGAAAGGAGGTCTCACCAGTATACTTTAGATACGTACGCGGTAAGCGAATCCGAGAGTGAAGAGGAGTCGGAGGAAACGAGGTCTTCGGAAACGGACTCCGCGATAGTAGCGGATCACACAGACGACATATCGATATCGGAACCCAAACTGCTCCCGAAGAAGAGCTCCCTAGATTCGAAGAGGAAGAAGGCGCTGCACGTGGCGCAGGAGTTGCTCGCGACCGAGAAGAATTACGTGAACATTCTGCACCTGATCGACCAGGTGTTTCAATTCAGAGTCGATCAGGAGAACAGAGCGCACCCGATGTTCCCTCCAGAGACTGTCCAGCAAATGTTTTCCAATATCAAGTCTATTTATAAGTTCCATAACGACTTCCTGTTGCCGCAGTTCGAGAAGAGGATGCAATGCTGGGACTCGAATCCGAGAATCGGCGATATTATGAAAAATTTCGCGCCGTTCCTTAAGATGTATACAGAATACGTGAAGAATTTCGATTATGCTATGAATCTAATAAACTCACTGCAGAGTAAAGTGTCCAGATTTGCGGCAATTATTAATGAAATTCAGAAGCTCGAAGAGTGCGCGAAATTGTCGCTACCTCATCATATGTTGAGTCCGATACAGAGGCTACCGAGGTACGAGCTACTTCTCAAGGACTACTTACGAAATCTCACTGAAGATAATCCTGATTACGAAGATACGAAAAGTAAGCAAATTTATACGTGTCTTTTGAAGTTTCCCCGGATCGCGTATTCTATGTATTTACATGGACTTCGGTCGCATCAATCGAGTGTGTAACACCTTTTGTAACATCAAATTTCAGAGGCTCTTGAATTAGTGTCCACCGCTGCGAATCATACAAACGAAGCGATGAAGAAAATCGATAAATTTAAGAAACTTTTAGAGATCCAGGAAAGTATATATGACGCGACTGATTTGGTCAGCGCGACTCGTGAATTAGTGAAAGAAGGACGTATAGTGAAAATTTCTGCGCGCAGTGGTGATCATCAGGAGAGACATTTGTTTTTGGTAATTATTCACATGTTTCACTGATAATTATTTTATTTTATTTCTCACTTATCTTTTTTTAACCTTTACCTATCTTGATATTAAATTTATTTTGTCTACCTATTTTAATTGCCTATTTCTCTTATCCTTTTCTTTTTTTATCTATTTTATTTATGTTTTATTGATATTTAAGCTACGTTCCGAAATTATAATCAACGGGTAAAGTAACATTTAATTAACTAATCATAATAAAGAAATCTTTGCTTTTTTGTTCTCTCTGATTGGTCAGTTAAATGTTGCTCTGTCTGTCACTACGTTCTCGAAACGCAATTTTATACAAAATATGTGCGAAAACGTTCAACAATTATTTATCTTTCCAGTTTAGTGATTTATTGTTACTCTGCTCAATAAGACTGATACCCGGACCTTTGTACCGATTACGAGCCAAATTTATGGTGGAAAATTTGCAAGTAGTTGAAGGGGACAATCTAGAAACTGCAAATACTTTTTATATAAGGGACGAAAACAAAAGTGTCGAATTGTACACGCAGTCCGCCGCGGAGAAAGCGGCATGGCTGGACGCGTTGTTCCAGACGATGCAGGAGATTATGAGACGCAAGGCCAGCCTGAAGACTGGCAGTGTTAAGACTTCCTTAGTTAAGGCTGATGACGTAACTAGGTGCATGGTTTGCGAAGTTATCTTCTCTGTGATGAAACGAAAACACAATTGCCGGGCTTGTGGAATAGTGAGTATCCCTACGAGATGAATTTTATTTCTTCCTGTAAAATGCACTATGATACGTTATAACTTACGGTCTGCTTATACATTCTTTCTGCAGGTGGTTTGTAGTAAATGCTCAAATCAGAAGTTATTATTTGAAGACAATAAAAATATGAGAGTATGCAGATTATGTCATGCCGCGCTCACTCAGCCACTCGCCAAATCACCGTCATCGCCTTCTGGACCGGTGCCAAGTTTGCTGCAGGTTTCAGCGAGCGCGCCTTCAGTATTATCCGGCTATTTGCTGTTGAAAACGCAGGCTAGTAAACCGTGGACCAGACGATGGTTCGCACTACACGTCGACTTCGTTTTGTATTCGTTCAAGTCGGAGTCAGAAAGCATGGCCATGACGGCGACACCTATGCCGGGCTTCATGGTCACCGAAGGTACAAACCTGCCCGATGAGGATCCCCTGAACACGAAGGATCGAATTAGAGCCTTCAAAATGCACCATTCTAGGAAATACTATTATCTTCAAGCATCTTCTCAAGAGGACAAAGAGAAGTACGTCATTCACACAAATTACGATTCTCCGCTATCAAATGGTAATAACATTTATAATGCTTATCTTTCATTGTGGAATTTTTCAGGTGGATGCACGCGTTGGAGTTGGCTACGAAAGCTGAACTACCTCATTTTACCCAGACGGAGGACGAAAGCGCACAGGAAAGTCAATCGATGAACGATGTACAATGAACGTTTGTACCTTTTTATCTACCAAACTAGCCAATTTTTTTACTATCGTATTCGTAAGCGAGAGGAGAACACGGCAATGTAAGATAATCGTTAGTAGTTAATTAGCTATATTTAAAATGACGTTAACTTATGTTATATATATATCTTGTTATTAGTGTACACTACAAGAAATCGAGTCAATAGCGGCCGCTGCCGAAACGCTTGTTGTTTTGTATAATGTTCTGTTATAGTATATTTATAAATATATATGTCGTTCGATCACGATACGCTGTGCTGTCCGTAATTTTGCAATGAAGTCAATAGGACGATGCTTGAGGAATCAATTACTCGCTTCAATGATAATGCGTTATCTAAGCTACGATAAAATTGATTTTATCGAACGAGCAATGAATTCTACAATCTTATCAATAAATTTATTTGATCGTAGTTAAAATTACATGACTTTTTTAAACATCTCTGAGCAGTTCCTACCTGATTATGTACAAAAATATAGTAATAACATTAATTAATAATATGTTCATGACAGAACGTCGACTCATCAATTAAGAGCCCGAGTGAAAAAACTCCGCGTTGACAATAGCGCCACAGTTTCGAATGGTAGGAATAAAAACCTTTTCCTGATTACCTCTGTTATAATTTGAAAGCGTTACATGTTAATATTTTTATTTATTTCCATATTATATCTTATGTTATTATGCAACGTGAATAAACGATGAAATAATAACATGAAACGTAACTTCTTTCACTAGTATAAATTATTCCATATTATATCTTATGTTATTATGCAACGTGAATTAACGATGAAATAATAACATGAAACGTAACTTCTTTCACTAGTATAAATTTATTATCATGCGGGGTTTCCTAAAACTATCAGGAAAAGGTCCCTGATACTAGTATTCCTGCCACTCGAAACTGTCAACACAGAGTTCTTTCGCTCGGGCCCTTAACGCGTTATTAATTTATTTTATATTTTATTTTTTCACAGCACTTGTTCAGATAGCTCACGTTTCTTAAATTTCAGAAGGAAATTCTCATCCATGTATTGAATGAATTGAACGCCCTTCTTCTTTTTGACATTTTCGACATTTCTCTTTTCGTAAGTGAAAACGTAATTTGAAACAAGCGTGATTATCATTACTTTCATTATTATTATGGCCAGTCTTTGTCCTGAAAATTTGAAATAAAATTTAGGACAAAGGGGAAAAAGCTAATTAAGATATATCTTTTACGTAATAAATTTTTAACTGACCTATGCATGTTCGTGGTCCAATGCCAAATCCTAATGATTCGTAGAACTTCTTGTTTTCTGTCTTCTCTCTCAATGGGAGAAATTCGCAGGAATCGTTGAAGTATTTAGGATCTTTAGTCACTGCATTTACAGATACGTATATCGAGACACTTTTCTCGATTACCAACCCAGTCTCTTTTATCTAGTAGGAAAATATACAATAAAAATATTTATAATATATAATAATATTTAAAAAATTATTCGTGTAAGGACTTGTTCGATCATCGATGGAATCGTGTCGATTACCTCAAAATCTGCTTCAGCTATTCTGTCGATGACTGGTATAGGAGGATGCAATCTCAATGTTTCGTTTATAATGCAATCCAAGAAAGGCGTCTCATTAATCGATTCCATAGTTATTTCTTTATCCAATTGATATTTCTTTATCTCCTTATATAATGCATTTTGATATTCTGGCTTAAGTGTAATCTCGTTAATTACCCATGCGGCCAAAGTTCCACTCGCTTCGAATCCAGCTATATAGAAAGAGCTCGCCTGCGCTGCCAAGTTATTGCCTTCGAATTCTGTAATGTGTCATGGATTAATGTTATTATTAATATTAACACAGGTATCTTTTATTCCTCATTGATTCATTAATTTAACAGAGACGTATGAAATATATGGAAGTAATAGTGAATATCGATAAATATTTCTCTCGCAATATATATAATATCAATGTAGTAATGTGTATATATATATATATATATATATATGTGTGTGTATGTATATATATATATATATATATATATATCGCGAGAATTGAGATTAGTTTGGGACACTGTATATATAACTTTTATTATAACTAGCTTATAATTATAACTAGCTCTAAAGCTCCTATGCCCTCACTTAGGTTGTCTTTATTTAATGACGTGAGAAGCGAAAAATCGCATGGCAAAATATAGTATACGTAGTTAGTACATATGCGTCGTAAAGTTAACATAACAGAAATCACGAGAAAAGATGGATTAAAAAGTTGCATGTTATACTAATTTTCGGCTATTTATTGATTGTTTATATTTTGACAAGTGTGCTGAATGTATCACGAGTGCCATTTTATGCACATATTCTTTTATTTCCACGTATACCGTAATGTATTTTGCCATGTGATTTCTGGTTTCTGACGTCATCAGACAAGAATAGCCAAAATGAGAAGCCTTAATTATTCTAGAGGATTCTCAAGGATTCTTACTGAAATCAGGATGTTGTTTTCCATTTTTGAGCATTATCATATAGTCCACCAAATCTCCTCTCTTACTTCTTGTTTCTTCTCTATATTTTACACTCTCGTCAAAATGTTTGCGGAAATATTTCGAACCCCTCTTAGTGAACGGTTCAATTAGGGGACTCAGCATGGGAACGAAGAAATAAATCATGAGTACCATGGCGCGCATACTACCTCTGAAAAGGTTTATCCCTGTAATCACACAACAGTGTCTTCAGTATTAGAGAAATGTTACGCAGTTATCATTACATCATTATTTTCTTCTAGTAACGATAATGAGTGACGAAGTAAAATAAATTACTTTTAGAAAATATCTTTCCCAAGCCTGGATATTTCATTAAAAAAACAAATATATATATTTATGGGTCATTCTATGTGAAAGGGGTACGCTCAAAAATTAGATTTGATCGAAACCTATGGCAATCGGTAATACTATTTTAGAAAACATTTGTCGAATTTTTTCGGATTTTTTGAACCACACCATGAGCTTCTATGGCTGTCATAAAATTCGAATTTTTGCTTCGACTACCAGTTTCTTAATTCTCGTCGTCGTCGTCATGCCAATAAAAAAAATCTGAAACCATTGTAACTTTATAGCATTTTTCCCGTAGAATCTGAAAAAAATATTTGTAAAATTTTAGGGGGTAGTTTTCACCCTTATTTTGACATTTTAAAGTTTAAAATCGAAATTTCGCAAAGTACGCCACCTTCGATTTTTTTTGTTCTTTTTTTATTTTATTCCTTTTTAAATTTGCTTTCGACTAAGTCATGTCTCATGATGGTAATCGACCTGGAACAGGCCCAACATAAGGCCCAAAGGAAAAAATCCACCTTTTTACCGTTATATCTCAACCCTCAAGACGGTTGGGCCTGTTCCAGGTCGATTACCATCATGAGACATGACTTAATCGAAAGCAAATTTAAAAAGGAATAAAATAAAAAAAGAACAAAAAAAATCGAAGGTGGCGTACTTTGCGAAATTTCGATTTTAAACTTTAAAATGTCAAAATAAGGGTGAAAACTACNTTTTTTTAATATCCAGGCTTGGGAAGGATATTTTCTAAAAGTAATTTATTTTACTTCGTCACTCGTACATATGTATTCATCTAAATAATTATAACTTAACAATTAATTTTCACTCGTTTAATTAACAATAACCACTGCATGCGAAAAGTGCGCGCGCGCATGCGAATGTAACGCGTGTGCAGAGCTATTGCACAGTAAAAATCATTTTGTACTTTGTGAAAATCGGTTCATGTTAAAAATTTTGCGTTGAATTTTCAACACAGCTGTATGTTAATTTAACATATTGCGATTGCGTTATTTTAAGATGTTGTGTAAAATTGAATTCAACATTCTTTTGTGTTGAAATACAATTTATATGTAAATATACATTTAATATGCACGATAGTACGCGTCTTATCCCCGCCGAAAAATAATGCGGCGGCTTTGGCGACAAACATCATATAAGCTCGGCTTAAAAGAATTTAACGGTATATGTCGGTTCGATTTAGAGCCACGCGAATTATTTTCGATAACAGTCGCCGTCTATTAATTTTTGATATATTATTTATGTTACTTCTTAACATATTTACCTTGTATTAAATTGACACAAAAATTTGAGTGGACCGTTTAGGATATGTGTGAAATGTGTGTTAAATTTAAAACAAGATTTTTTACTGTGTGTCGACCGGCGTACTTGTTACTAATTCGCGTTACTAAACGCACATCGATAAGAAGCGATAAAAAATCCTACCTGCTTCGAAAAAACCGCTGCTCTCTTCTTCGAAAGCATTTACTTCGATGCCATACGTCACGGAGGCGAGAACATTGCTGACGTAACGGGTCGAAATTTCTCGCACATCCTTAATCTCCTTACAATTATCCTCGTTCTCTGGCAATCCATCAATATATTTCAACATGGGTTCTATGCATTTAGTTATTAACGGTATCATAATCTTCAACTTCTGTCCGGTCAAGGACGGGGTCAATTTGGTTTTGAGAAATTTCCACGTTTGTTGTGACGTAATAGCGAGGAGATTACGGAAGCCCAGAAAATCCGCATTAGTAACTGAACCGAATCGCCTATTCGGGAAAACATTGTAGTGTTTGATCATCGTTTCCTTTATAAGTTCATGGTTTCGCAAAAGCAGCATGGGTTGGTGAAAGATGTAGAAGCCGATGTAAGGATCGTCTGGATCAGCACTCTCGTACATCTCGCACATCAGATCTGCAGGCGCTTTTTTAAGCATGATCACATCCTTGAAGTTGCCGAAGATCAAGTGCGTCGGGGGTGTTTTGACCCCGCGTCTGCTCCAGTAGGACAGTTTGTATTTTGCGTATACGTAAAAGAAGCCAAAGGCTATTGCCAATATCGTAGTGCTATTGATTAAGTAACGGCTTATCGTGTCCATTATCGGCAGAGTAGATCTTCGTTAAACTGTGTGTTTTCTTCAACCGAAGCCTTGTAACTGACTCGCTGGGAAAACGAATCTTAATTTATATGAATACGTGCCAGCCCGATATAGAGATATTGATTCATGAATAATACTGCGTAAAAAAGATACGCCGACGATTTATAAGCCGACATTTTTTATCAATGTGTATTAGTCATCGTTAAAATCAATCGCATTATCAGGAGTGGTGTACAAATCAGTGTTCACATAGGTTCAGTTCAGTCAGGATGATCGATTTAATTCTAATTTGGAAAACTAATACATGGTCAATGCCTCGTAATCGAGTTTGATTTCTCAGATTGATGATATAATTATTCATTGTATTATTATATAATTGCCTCTCAATACTATACCATTTTGTTTTAATAAGAGAATTAAATCAACTGCTATACAATAGGAAGTACGATAATCTTCATATCGTAATGAATTTTAAATTCAATACCGATATCTTGATATCTTGACATCTTGACATCCGTTCGATTTTTATCCGCTGCATCCGGTTGCCGAGTATAAAATGCAAAACATAACAGTCCATATTTTACTTACTTGAAATCGCTATTTTTTAAAGATGTAGGCTGAAAGAGAGAAACTTGAAAAAAAATCATATTTAAGCTCGCTTATTTAAAAAATCGAGAACGCAGTAAATTATACGAAGTTTTCTTTCAAAATTTTATTTTTTCAGTTAAAAAATACGTTATAATTCACGACACAAAAATATATAATGTGGCATAACTTCATAAAACACAAAACGCTTACATAATCCAAATTTCCGCAAATATTGATTTTGCATATATTTAAGCAATTTTTTTATTAATATCCTAAATAAATCAATTAAAATAAAATTAATTCGATACTTGGGAAGTTATTATTGATAAAAAAAACGGAAGTAAGCTATAATCGATGTACGCAGTTGAACGCATAAAATCGAAGGATGTTGACACTTCCTTCATGTGTTTTCTTCTTGACGGGTCAAGAGAGCTGAATAATTAATGATCTATTGTGATATTCATATCTGAGTCTCGCTTATATAGGGTGTCCCAAAATTCACGCAAGAAGTAATTTTGATAGAAAACACAGGTTTATTATTAAAAATTGTAAATTTTTTATTGATTCATAAAGTATATAGTATAGGGTTATGTATGGAATAGCATATCGGGTAAATGGCCTCCACGGTTTTGCTAGCACATACGTACTCTTTTATTGAAATTTTCCATGACCGTTTTGCACAAATGTGGCTGAATTTCGTTGATACAGCGCTCAATTTCCTCCTTCAAGGCGTAGGTGGTCGTGAGCTTGTTGACATAAATCTTAGACTTCAAAAAACCCCAAAGAAAAAAGTCCAACGGCGTTAAATCACATGATCTGGGCGGCCAATTCTGATCACCAAAACGGGAAAGGAAATGACTCATGCAGTAATTAAATTGTTTCTTGGGCTGTATGGCATGTGGCACCGTCTTGTTGAAACCACTTGTCGTCCACATCCATATCTTGCAATTTAAGCACAAAAAACTGGATTATCACGTCGCGATAGTAAGTATCATTAACTGTTATTGCCTGACCAGCCGCATTTTCGAAGAAAAATGGTCAGATGATGCCTCCAGCCCAAAATCCGCACTAAACAGTGACACGTTGTGGATGCAAGATCACTAATTGATCCAGTCTCTCTAAATTTTTTAATTAATCTCTTCACAGTTGATGAAGTTAAATCACAATTCTGACCATATTTTGTACGAAAATTGCGAACTGTAGCTGCCAAACTTTCATTATTTTTAAAATATTGCTCAACAATGAAAACGCGTTGTTCTTTCGTGTAGCGCTCCATTTTTGATAACCCTGAACTGTCAGCTGTCACGTTATCTTCCTTTGGCAACACTTTACTGCACAAATGGCGCAAAATTCAAATCTTGCGTGAATTCTGGGACATCCTATACATGATATTTAACACTATCAGTGTACCCTGATTTCTTATCTAAATTCTTATTAAATATTTGCAAGTGTACATTACTAGTCTCGTTGCGCATGTCATTTAGAAATACTGTCGTATCTATTGATCCGCAAAAAATAAAACATGATAAAAATTTTTTTCGATAAGGAGAAAAAAATTCTGTCTCTTGTCGCAAATGATTACGCTTTACATATGTTGAAATATATCGAACAGCACAAATTGATTCGGACATATCTATGATGTTCATGAGAAATTTCTTAGGAAAATAACTAAAATATTTCTATAATATACGAACATGTTTATAAGCTCTCGAAATATACAATCAAGTGAAAAATAAAGGACATGTAACAGCCAGATATCAGAGTGGCAAAATTTAATAAGGAAAGGAGCGTTTAGATTTAAGAAACGATTGAAAATTTCTTGAATATGAATATGAAAATAAATATAAATATCATAAAAGACATAATTATTGCTCTCACCCCTCATTTTTTTGATGATGATTGAGACTATCATTGCCACACTTTATTTATTGAATTGGATATCAAAGAGCTTTAAACACTTGTTACATTTACAAATCATATTGACATGAGAATATTATATATACAGAAGTACTCCGGAGAATATTTTTATGCGACCAAAATATCAGAAGCGATTACTATTACACAATGCTTTACGAGATATTGTATATTAAAACATCTCAAAGTCGTATTCGATTATCTAATGAATCGATTCGGTTATCTATTGAATCATAGATCAGTAAAAATTTATAAATTGACCAAGTCGATTTATTTTTGGAATATAAGAATCCAATTCATCAATCAGTTACTGCTTATGTCTTACTACATACTTTACGGCTATTGTTGATGGTCCTTTACATTCACCATGAGAAGAATTAAACATGTATGTTTAAGTAACTATAGTTTAATTTTTATAAACTCATACTGATCTGAAGTTGATCTGGATTGACTTGATCTTCATTTACAACAAAACCGAACTGTAAGAAGAGAAAAGAAAAGAAGAAAAAGACGTTATTGGCGTACATATGTAAGGTAGATTCGAGAGAACATCGAGGCAAGTCGGCAACGAAGATGTTAAAAAGTAGAGGGCCTAAGGTAGAACTTTAGAGTACGCCGAACTGGAGACCGAGACAAGAATAAAACTGAATGTGAGTTATATGTGAGAACTCGTTGAGATCTATTAGAAAAATTGAAATGAAAAATTGAAGGAGAATAAGAGCACTTGTTACTAAGCCGCACTATTTTAGTTTAGCAATGGAAAGTTCGTGATCTACTTTATCGAATATTTTAACCACTTACACTATAAAGACGCACGTCGAGATACTTTTGTTCCAAAACCGCCAGCGACGTGTATACCACGTCGATAGGCATTTATCGCAGAAACAAAAATGACGTGTCCGCTAACGATGTCACGTCGGCTAACAATTAGATCGTTCATTACTCGAGCTACAGTTCTAAAGTGCACGGCATCGCATAGTGTCATCGATATCTTGGAAATATTTCAGAATCGATACGGTATGTCGTACGGATTTTTTTACACGAAAATTCTTGTAGTTTGTGTTATATTCGTGTTCGTGTTATATTGTAGAGCGCGGCACGACAACTGAAAATTAAATCGTAGCGCAAGTGGTGAAAGTAACCTAACGAGACTAAAGCAGTCAGTTTCTTTTTTGTTTAAAGAACTGATAACATTATCAGAGGAGTGGGGAAGAACGTTGTAATGCTAATTCTATCTACATCCTGTTCTAAATAACCTTTGCTTCGAAGATATTTACTTGCAGCAAACATGTCCAATATTGGAGTAAGGATAGGAAAAGGGAATTGCGTTGCAAAAAAAAAGGAGAGCAGTTTTTCCAAGCAGATAAGAAAACATCATTAAATCTATTTATAATAATATTATTTAATATTAAATAATATTTCTGGAATATTAATAGATGGTTATATGTCCACTCTTAATAATATTTAAAAAATAATATTATTTAATGTTATTGTAATATTATATATTTGTTAAATATTCAACTCTATGTATATTATAATTGTAATTTTTTATTTCAAATGTATCGCAATACCAATTGTCTTATTAGATAAATAAAGTCGAAAAAATGTTGTGTAAAAATATGTTTTATATTTAAAAAAGTATATATATATATATATTTAGCGAATGCCGCTATTAAGAAAAAGTTAGTGAGCGGAAGCAGTACTGGGCAAATAAATGCGGAGTCTTTACAACTGCTCGCACAAAACGCTGTATTTACAAGAAATTTAAAACTCGCAACGCGATACAAAAAAGAACGGGATTCTATAAACTAAAAACGCAACGTTAAACAAAATGGGGAACGCTAGGAGATCGGCTCGCTAGGTCGGCTCTCTCTCACTCGCAGGGAGAGGCACGGATAGGAAATCGCGCACAAGGGGCGCGACGAAGGCCGTCGGAAAAGTTCTTGTACGACGAGAGACACTCGCACTCCCAGGCGTGACGCACTAATGCGCGTTTGAGAGAGACGGGGCGCAGTCAAACAGAGTCTCTAGACCGGAGCGTCGAATACAATTCACGAAGGTGGCGAGGAACACTCGCGAGCGCGTCCGCGACGTTTGAGGTTTAAAACAAGAGTGAGCGCTCCGGAGTCCTCAGGGACACTGAAGAACAAATTACTCACGAAACAAACACGAACAAACAAATTACGCGTGCGAACAGCCGTTGTTTTTATCGCCGGTTGTTTCGATCGCCATATATATATACGCGAAAAACGCGGCGATGAGCTCGGAAGCCAAAACAAATAATTAATTTGTTACAATTTTAATAATATGTATAAACGTATGTTGCTAACGTATGAAAATACATGTAAAGGAATTGTTTCAATAATAGATATTAGCAAGCCTCTTCTAAATTGCACAATGTCGACTGATCTATAATTGTGAATACTGCGATTGTCAGGCGCTTGATCTGCAGAATGAGTTGGAGTGGCAAGGGAAAAAAGGAAGCGTAGCCTTTAACCCTTTCGCGGCGGAGTGCTCTGGAAAGAGTCGCGCTCTAAGCAGCCGATGCCAGATCGACCGCGCGGACCAAATACGCGAGTCGTTCCGAACGCAGTGTGTATATAATATTTGACTATGTAAAAAAAACCTTTGCACAAGAAGCGTATGCTGCTAGCACGTCAAAAACAACTTAATGGACATTAATGGCAGTTGTTGATAACAAACGAACAGCGCCTTCGTACGAAGAGAGCGGCTCCGGATGGGCGCCATCTGGCGCTGTTCGTTCACCGCGGGTAAATTTGCCTGAGCGCCGAACGGCGCTGTTCGCTGAGAATGAGCATCTATAGCTGAGCGCCTAAAGGCGCTGTTCGCCGCGAAAGGGTTAAGAATCAGCTCGTTTATATAATCGCGGACGAAAAGTTGTCGGATATTCCTTAGACATAGTGATATCAGAAATTTTGCATTTGGAGTATCATTTCTGAATATTCGTGCTTCATGATTACTGATTGTTCTGTGAACCAGCAAGGATGCTCCAAAGCAGCATTCACGATGAACGAATATTAAAAAATGATGCGGTTAGTTCGAAATTTCTGATATCACTATGTCTAAAAAATGTAACAATATTTCTATTCGTGACAGTACAATAATTCCAAGCACTGCTCCAATAACAGTTTCGATGATTAAGTGAAAAAAAGATGTGACGTGAAGAAAATTACACAAGCGTTAGATTTAGAACTAATATTGAAACAGAGGATGCAGATAACACAATCACTGTTTACTATCACGATGGCAAGATAAGATTTCTAAATACTTAAGAAATATAAAAATATTAGAACGGTTCAGACGATCTATAACAAGTAAAAATTAGTAATTTTCTTAAAATACAAATAGATTGTAACTTCAGTTATATCGAAATTAGTAATCTTGTTATGATCATTGATATCGAAATTAACTGGAGAGGGAAAGAATTGTTTGCAAAAATGTATTAGGCGTACAAGTTAATTATCGAATCAAAGCTTCAAGTTTCTTCAAGTGAAGGTATTCGTCAATTGCTCGAAAGATATAGTAAAGTCATTAAATTGTTTTAAAGCTATTTAAGGTACTTTTATCGATAAAAGAGAGTTCAGCGGCAATCCAGAAAAAAATTATGACAAAGCAAACTTATGAATTAACGATCATGTGCAGTAAGTGATCTAACAGCTGTCAAATTACATATATAAGGTGTAGTCATAAAGATAAGTAATAGAGCAATATATTTAGTTACACACGTTTTAATACAAGAAAATTAAGACTGAAAAATTAGAATTATACTTATAAATTATATCGCATTTTCGCTTATTAAATACGCGTAAACCCGACGAATTCCAAAAACAATCCCAAGAACAGTTGTTTGCTACATATAAAAGGCTTGTTGCAAAATTATCAAAGAAACTCAAAACGAGAGGAAAGCGTAATAATAAAATACCTTTATTACCTCAATCCGATAGTATCACTTTACCGACCGGCCGTCGATTAATCGACGTTTTGTTCTCAACGCTTATCGACCGGCCGTCGATTATTCGACTTTTATTCCACAGCGCTTAACGACCGGTCGTCGATTAATCGACTTTTGTTTTTTCCGTTAGATTTGGTTAAGTTAGACTGACAAGTAGCAAGCAGCAAGCATTTCGAATTCTGTATTCAGATAATCGTTGCTTTTCTTTAAAATTTAGCCCTTAAAGATGAATGAAAAGGATAGTGTTGGTGAGTTTTATCTCGACGACCTGTCAGATTGTCTTCACTGCTGTTCAGCAAGTAGTACTGATGACGAAAGTGATAGCAGTAGTATAACGATTCGAAAGCGACGTTCTGTATCACTAATATACAGTGATTCAGAAGACGAGGGCATAAATAATAACGTTAAAGACAGCTGTGGTACATGGTCAACGAACGACAAGAATATAATTTTGGAACCTTTCGAAGGCAGCCCCGGCGTAAAAATTATACCAAGTTCCTCTGAAAGCGTAATAGATATTGTGAATTTATTCATTGGAAGTGACCTGATTGAGCACTTCGTGAGGGAGTCTAATAGGTATCATGATCAAATTATGGAAAAATATAGAATTACACCAAAAACGAAAAAATGGAC